AAGGAGAAGAGGAATGAAAAATGTGTTTTAAAATTAATTTTCGGTTCCCAGGCGCCATGAAGAAATAAAATTCAGTTTAAAAGACCGGCCCATATATCCCCTTAATCATTTAGTACTTGGAACTTTGGTAATATTGAAATTGGGCCTTGTATTTAATGACAAGTATAAGACTATAAATATTTTTAGGATCCTATTTTTTAAAACTTTTTGTTGGGGCCCAAGCGCCTACTTTGTGTGGTTTTATCCCAACAATTGGCCTAAATATGTCCCAAAATGGAATCCAGATTATCAATCTAGGAAAGTGCAAAAGTATATTTTGAAGTGTAAATTCTTATAATTTTTTAATGATTTTTTAAAATTTTAATACAAATATATAATATTTTAAAACTTTTTGAAGCTGCGAACTTGTCCATCAAACTTCCTAGATGAGTCGTCTTTAGTATCCGCAACTAGTTGCCATGTTATATAGTTTGCAAATATGGGATTGACATAAGTTGATGATTGGTTATACAAATATTTTTTATTTATAAATAAAATTTTCCAAATTCACATTCTTTATTAATCAATGAATTGTTTGAATTTGAATTTCCTTCTCATTTTAAAAAAACGTGATTAGGTATTTTGTTTGAAAAAATGGAGTGGGTGCATTACTGGTGTCATGCAGGAATCAATTGCACAAATATGATTCTTTTCTTTTCTGAACTTGGGAGATTCTTATCTCCTCTCTCCATTACTTCATTACTAATAATAAATTATAATTATTGAATAAGTAATAACGAAAGAAGTATCGGAGGAGATGGGAAGCATTTTTGACGTTTTCGGCGGGTCCATACTTGATTGGGCTAATGGGCAAGTGGGAGGGGACAGCATCCCCACAAAGCCCAACCTAAACGCCACTAAGAGCGTTCATGAATTGTACCGACATTTTATATTTTAAGAAAATACCAAAATGTCACTTAATTGGGTGAATGTCGGCCCAATGATTGCATCGGCGGGGCCCATGTGCTGTGCTGGATCTGGACTGCCGTCCACCGCCATGCACCGGTGGCTGCACTGTTAGCCATCACTTTCCTACACTCCACTTTCACTATATATTTATTTTTATTTCCAAGATAGGCACTTCCACTATCATTTTAAGATATTAAGATTGAATTTCATGTTTGTTCATAACTTTTGTTGTATTGAACGGTCTTATTGACTCCTACAAAACTCAAATCTCACACTTTCGCAACTGTCCCCCACTTTCTCTCTCCTCCCTCTTCTAGTCTACTGAAAAGTATCTCAACCACAATACAATCTTAGCAAACGTAGATAGTCAACTTAAATTGAGGTATAAAAGAAATAACGAGTAGGATAAAAGTTAAATTTTAAATTGTATTTTTGTATTTAATTACGAATAAGAAAGATATTATGGAAGGGAGATAATAGAATTTGCATCGCGTTTTAGACATTATTTCTGATGCGTTAGATAGAATCTTTGAATAACTTTATACCTAATTATTGCGGCTAACAACATTTGCGTGTAACAATTCAAATCATAAATAATAAAAGATATTACATTTTTTGTGCACTCAAGTGACTAAGTGTATTTTTTTCTTTAATTTTATAAACCTAAGATGTTAAGTTTCGAGTCTCTTAATTCTTTCTCTAACTTTTTTTTTTTTTTTAAATTTATTTTAAAGAATTGAGAATCCACATGGCATATAGAGAGGCAAAAGGCTTCAGAAACCAAACATGGGTGTTCCGTTTATGTATAGTATATATAGATATGAGAAAATCAAATATAAGGAAAAAAAAAAAAAGGATAAGTTAATATCATATGGAAAATATTTGACATCTTATAAAACTCTCACAATTGATCTATAAACATTACTGTGACATGATAGATGTCAATTTTTTATTACGCTGAATTCACGTAGGGCTTAATTTCATTACACATAGTAATTGTGGATGATTTTAAAGTCAAATAATGAAGTTTTTATCATTTCTTTATCTGCATGGTATAAAGTTGTGCGCGTCAATTCTAAACTCTAACCTCAGTACACACACAAATTATTTATCTCTCCATTCTCATGATATAAACATATCTCTTATATGACTCTAGAAAGGATGAATCATAGTGTTTCTAGTACCACAGTCTACTTATTTTTTAAATAAATTTTTTTATGTATGTATATGTATTAATATTGTATGATAAATCCAATCATCACTAGTACAGTCATATTATGCAGCTTGTATGATAGGTCCAAGCTTTGGAGCATATGGTAATGTGAATTTCACCATTGCTTGGAAAAAGAGGTCAAGCTTTGGATATATGGAACAAAGATTCAATATCACATTGGGCAACTTATGCGTGAGAATGCTTTCCTATACTTATTTCAGAAATGGACAAGACTTGTCAGCTCAAGTTGTGTTATTACGAACCAAGAAGTTCTTCTTGGGGCCTTTTAGTTCAACTTCTTGGAACTTTCAATGGAATTGTCATACGATATATGGCTTGAACATCTCCAACTATTCAATTTTTTTTTTCCTCTCTTGATTACCATTTCTTTATTGGAAGTCACAATATTCTTTGAATTTCTTGATATCAAATTATCTTTCTTCTTATTTATTTATTATTTATAAACAAATATTAAAGGGAACATTGTTCTTTTAACCCATGTTTCAACCAAAGTAAATAGCATTGTGGGTTTTTTTTTTTTTTTTCCTTCATTGCTCTCTGACTTAAGCTTACAAAAAATACTAGTAGATATATTTTCTATTTATTGCGGAAGTAGACAGTATGAGATGTAAGCAAAACATGAGGAGTTTTGAAAAATTGCAATAATCAATTATGTTGGTTTTAATGCTAATTTATAGAATACAAAAACTTGTGAATACAAACAGGAAGTCTTAAAAACAAAATGAAAGTCTTTTAAAAACCGTGGCCTATTGCTTTTCCAAAGTCTATGAAGCTAGAATACAAAAGTCTAAATAATAAATACAATGACTTTTTTATTACATACATATAGCAGTTCTCCCTCGTTTTTGAAAAAAAGAATACTATTGCAGATAAGATTGGATTATCTTATCTTTTACCATGTGTGCCTGGAATAAGGATGCAATCGAATCTAGTATATCTTGCAACGCTGTCTCTCATGGGCTTCACTATGCTTCCATTCATATTGTTTAGATTGTGCATGAAGACACTATCTTCAGAAATCAAGAATATCTTGAGCTTGATTTCATTCCTGTGTTTTAAAAAACTTCCAATTCATCAGCTTGCATCGCAAATTCTAAGGAAAATCTAGCAAATTTCGTAGAGAATGAAAGCATGAAAAGTGATTAAGCAACCTTTGCTTCTACCAGTTTGGGAACTTTTTTTTTTATGGGGGGGGGGTATCATTCTACATTTTTTAGACTAACATCATTTTTGTTTTGTTTTTTGTTTTTATGCTTTTTCATGAACTTCTACACTAAAAACCTACCAAATTTATAATAATATATATTACAAAAAAAAGTGAAAACCAGCTCAAAAACAGTTATATCTTCCCAACATGGATGGGTCAATTTGACACTATGGGAAGGGTAAGGAGATGCCAAAGCTTCACTATTTTCATTTTAAACCAATGGCCAATTACTTGGATCTTTCCAAAAAGCTCACCATGTTTGTACCTATGGTCCTAAGCCAATCCCAACCATCCATAGTAACTATTGGATCAATCAGATGTGATCAGCAAGTATATGCTTCAACAGGTTGGATTGGAAGATCTAATTTTTTTTTAATTATTTTTCCTTTTTTATGAGTGGTTTATTAGAAAGGGCACTTTTGATGGTGCCAATAAATAGGAGATACTGTTTGGTTGAATTTTTAAAACTTGTTTTTTCAAAAAACATATTTTTTGAAATTTTAAAAATTATTTCTAACCAAAAGAGAATCATATACAAATTAATACATTTATATATATATATATATATCAAATATATTTGTGTTAATTTAAAATTATTCTAAAAACACAATTAAACATATTTTGAACACAAAAATAGTTCAGAACACTTACCCTTTGCCATTCATTGATTCCAACAGCTGTCCTAATATGTTCTTTTCTTGTGTGCTATAGCTAAAAGATATATATATATATATATATATATTTTTTCAGTGGAGTGGGTAAAAAATCAGGAATTCAGCAGAACCTTCACTCTCCCTCGGCCCATGAAAGTGGAATTTGATTTTTTTTTTTTTCCTCATTAAGTTGTTTGAGGTCCCCCCACTAATCCTAGATACATTAAAGTGAAATCTGATTTTAAATCATTAACCGGACTACGATAAGTTTTACCTAGGTCAACTGTGTCAACTCACTCTTCGTGAAATTTATACTCAATATCTGAGAATTTTTATGTAATTTATTCGATCTCCAATGTATAGGCATATAATGCTTGTTAGTAAAAATGTCTAGTATGACTCCAATTTTTTTAACTCCAATGGACTAGGATGTAATTAGGCATTTTAGCTCAACTCCAATTCACATAGCTACATGTACTAGCCTTCAGAAGGTTAGGCAAAATATATTTAATTATTAGATTATTTTTCCTCCATCTTTATTGCTTGATGTGGCATTTTTTATATAAATTAATGAGTATTTGAATGAATAGTATTCTATAAAGTTAATAGTATTTGGATAAATAGCTAAAATAAAGAGCATGGTTGGAGAAGAAACATGAAACAATTTATAGGCAAAATAAAATGTATACTTTATAGTAATATTTAGATAGGTAAAATGCCTATTATTACCGTTGGAGATGCCCCACTGAAAGTGTCAATTAATAATGGATAGTTGAGTAGAATACACATGGCATGTTAGCTATTATTAGTTTCATCAAAGAACTATTTTAACAATCGAAGACTTCAAAAACTTTAATCCTTTTCTTAGATTTTTCCCATTTGTATTGAGAACCAAAGAAAATCACATATCTGAGACAACAATTCCAGTTACTCTTCAATATTTGAATTTTACATAAATCCATACATGAAATACCTTTATTTTTTTAATATTTTTTTTTTCCCTTCTCGAATACATAGTAAAAACCAACATAAAAAGTTCGAAGTAACACCATTGACATACCCTTTTTTAGGCTTGTCGTGAACATTTTAGGCTTGTTCCACAAATCTTTGTACTATGGCTAAAATTACCCTACATCTAATAACTAGTCTTAAATGGCTTATATGCCTTAAGATCAAGAGCAACCCCGGCAAACGATCCGGCAGCGGCTGCAATAGAAATTACGAGGCAAGCACCACTTAAAATTTGCAAGCAAAGCCATCTAGTACTCCATTTGGGTATTTTTTTCTGCACAATGTACATCTCCACCGGGAAATAAACCGTTAAAGGCCAAAATCCAAAAGCTCCAAGAATCCCAACCACATCATTGAAAAACGGCATGAGCATCGAAATCACGGTTGTTGTGATCACGAAAACCGTCCTCCACACCAACCGAAAGAGGTTGAGCCGGAAAGTCTTGAGGCCCGGAATTGGGACCATGATTTCCTTGGTGATGAATTTACTTTCTGGGAACCATTCTATTGCGTTTTTTTCGACAAAGGCGAAAATGGGTTGGCAATAGACTTGGTATGCACCCACAAGGTGGATGACGATGGCCACATTGGCGATGTCGAGGAGCCAGTAGGGATTGTAGAAACCGAAGCCAGTGAGGAGGTTACCGGGGGCCAAGTCCCCAAAAGCAGCATAGCCAAAGCAGCCACAGAGCATGTAGAAAATGGTTGTCACTGAAACACTTATCAGAGAGGCCTTTTTCATTGTTTTTGATTCTGATGGGGGAGACCTCACTGTGTCCTGTTATGTATATATGCATCATTAAATATGAGTAAGTCATATAAATATGGCAGTGTTTGATGAATTTTTAAGACTAACTGGAAATGTACCTGAATTTCAATAAGGATGATAGAGTAAGAATAGGCAAAAGCTATGTCTCCTAGTGCTTGGAAGCTCCTCCATATTTTCTGAGTCTCAGTCACCGTGCCAATGCTTATCCCGGTGAGACTTCCCCTGAATTTCCCAGTTTCTGATCATCAGCAAGGAAAAGAGCTTAGGTTAGTTTCAACAGAATCATTTTAGGGCTGTTTACAACTTATTTGAGCTGCTTATAATTTTTATTATTTTTTTGAGAATTTGTGTTAATTTTTATTATTTTTTTGAGAATATGTGTTAGATTACTGTTCGTACAACTTAAAATGTTAAAAACACTGATTATCTAAAAAATAAGAGAGAAGTGTTTTTTTTTTTTTTTAACTTTCTGATTATTAATTTTCAACTTGTAAAAAGCTATACTAATAACTCTCGAATAAATTATTTATTTTTTATTTTTTAACAGTTGGTTGCATTATGCAGTGACGAGACTCGAACCCGAGCATCACGTCGGTCAGATAAGGGAGCGCTTTCATACCTGCAACTTTGGAAATTCCGAGGGCGAGACCGATTGAAGAGTAAGTAAAGGACATGATAGCGGCAACAATCGAAAGCCACCATATCTGATCAAAGTCTTTAATTTGAGAGAAAATGATTTCCGCAACACCAAACATGATCATATAGGGAGTGCTTGATATTTTGCAAGGATTTTTCCCTCCACTTGCATGGAAACAGTTAGACCTTTTGATTGCCCTGTTTGATCACAACCCAACAAAACCACCCATTACCACAAACATTTCCACAATCACAAAAACAAAAAATTTACAAATCTGTTTTCAAAATCAAAGTTCATACTCACATCATGCTTATGGAAGATGCAATAGTGTACCCAATGGCCACCCCAAAAAGGTTCAGGTACTGAATCAGCCCACATATCATGAACTTCACACCACCTTCAAAATTAAAAAAATATAGAACAGAGGTTAGTTCATGAGATTTTGAGAAAAACCCACTAGTCAAATTGGTGTAAAAAATTGAAATTTACCCAGATTGGAGCTAACAGCGTCCATGTAAGTATAGTTTCGCTTGCCGGTGTTAGGGTCGCCAGAGCGGTAACATGCAGCGAGGAGAGTAGAAGTGTAGTAAGTGACAAAGGAGAACAAGAACATCACAGTTGGACCAGCAATCCAACCCAGCTGAGCAGTGGCCCAAGCCAAGGACAACACTCCTGACCCAATCACTGCTGTTATTATGTGAGCACTTGCGGTCCAAACAGTCCCTATATCACCAAACCACAAGTGAAGGTGAATTACTACTAAGCACAAAAAGCAGTAATTCTACGCACTCACAAAATTTAATTTAATTTTTTAAAAAAATAGAGGTTTGTTAGGGATTTTACCGGTTCGTTTGAGACGGCCATCGTCGTCGTAACATTTGGAGCTGGCCACGTCGATGGGAAGAGAGAAATGGTTGAGATGGTTGTTGTTTTTTGTGGCAGTGTTCTCAACCATTTTGTGATTTTGAAAGAGATTTTCAGGTTTGGTGTGTTGGATAAAGGTGATAAAAAAGGGTCTCTTGCTAGTTAGTTTGTTTTAATTGAGAATGGGTATTGGAACTCTCTATGTACTTGTATCTGTGAAAGCCTTAAAAAGAAGAGAGAGTGTGGTGGGTGTGTGGTTCTCCAACTGTTTTTGTCAGTACTTTAACTATGGACTGAGTTATTGACACACTTATCAAGAGTTAAACAAAAACCAATTGGCAGAACAAGTTTTGGGAGTAAATGGGTATGCTTCAGTAGCACTCAAAACCAGAGCAAAGTAGAAAAGCTGTGTGTTCGTGAGAGAGAGAGAGTTTCGTGTGGGATAGACAATGAGGGTGGGAATGGAAGGGGTATATATAAGGTGAGAGAATAGTATACTGTGGTGGAGAAGCTGGGAAAAGAGGGTTCCAGTGAGGAGTTAAAAAAACAGTAATCAAGTCAACTTAGCGCTGGACTATGCTCTTACGCGTTACCATCAATTATTGCATACGTGGACCGAAGATTTCCAATCCATTGATCAACCAAATCATTTCTATGCAAAAATACAAAAATAAAAAAAACAAACTTCATCGTTTTGCTGTATTTCTCCATTTCTCAAAACTAAAAAAATTCCATATCTATTTTTGATCGAAGCAAACCCATACTCATATAGTCTGGTAATAGGGGACTCTTTTTTATGTCAAAGATATATATATATATATATTTTTAAAATCAGTTTTCATCTTAAAATTTAGGGTAACTATCTATATAACCAATGTAGTGAAAACTCAAACAAACCAATTGAATAAGAGAAATCTTGATACAGGTTCATTGATTTTTTAATCAAACGAAAAGAAAAAAATATATATTGATATTTAAAGATGAATTTACTCTTTTTGTAAATTGGTTATGTAAGGCTTAACTTACTTAATTGGGGCTGCCATGTGACTGTTAGTAAATTTTTGGGTAAATTAGGGAGGTTCCCTAGCCTTATTGAAATTATAAATATATCTATTCAGATTTGTTTAAAATACGGATTGTCTTTTATAGTTTTGAAAATTACAAATACTCCTTTGTTGAAATTTTTATTAACATAATTAACTGAAAAAAATATAATTTCTAACTACTCTTTTGTACAATGATAAATTACTTAAATTACTAATTGAAATAAATTTATCACACCATTAAAAACTATTAATTGACTTGATTTATTAAAAAAATGGGTTATTTGTTATGAAATTAAAAATTTTAAGGGGAAGAGATGTAATTTATAGAAACACATAAGACAAATCGTATTTTAAACAAATCTCAAGAAGTATATTTGTATTTTGCCCTAAACTTTAAGAAAATTATGTTAACTTTTCTCAAGGTTTAAAAATATATAATAAATATTACAAATTTAACATAATTATATTAGACTTCCTCGAGATTCTTAATTCATATAGCACTTGATATCAGTTTTATCAGAAATTTGTTAGTCGTATCATCACATGAATGAAAAATGAATTTTACCATCCCCTTTACATTATAATGTAGGGGTGAAACTCGGACGAGTTCGCTCGAGTTGGAAGATTGCCTAGACCTAACTCGAATTGTGTTTGGCCCAAGCCCAACCGTCAATCTGAGCTTGGCTGCCCAAACTCGGATTGAGCTTTATAATTTGAACTCGGGTTAGCCGAAATTGCTCAAATTTCATAAGGCAACAAACAGTACTTCATTATTCCATACCACAAATTGAAGTACTAAACATAAATCTATTGGTCCATACAACAAACTTAAACATTATCCTAGCCACAAACACTGCTAAAGATAAAAGTAGAATATCATAAAGATGACATGACCAACATCCACTCAAAACAACAAAGTAAAAAGAAGTGATCCAGGTAGTAGTGACACTCTAAATATTTAATTGATTTTAACAACGCATTTATATCAACAAAATATAGATACATAATAATATATTTAATTTAATAGTTATTATATATGTTAAAATGTAATTTAATTTAAGTTAACTGTCATTGTATTTAATCATAAAAAAAAGAAAAAAAAGAATTAAGTGATAAAGATAAGCCTTAAGGCCCCGTTTGTTTGGGGTTATGGGGAGGGGATTGGGTTTGATAGTGATGAGGGGATTGAGAATGAAGTGTTTGTTTTGAGAGATAGGGAGGGAATTAGTAATCCCTTGGTATTAGTAAGGAGGAGGAAGGGGGATTGGTAAGGAGGAGGTAGAGATGGTATTAGAAAAATAGTGAGGGGATTAGAATTTTTTTTATTTTTTATATATTGGGAATTTTTTTTTAAATATAATGTTTATTTTTTTATATTTTTTATTTGTTTTATTATTTTATATAAAAATAATTTAACAATTTCTCACTATCAATCCCCTCACTATCAATCTCCTTACTAATAATCCTCTCACTATTAATTTCCTCCATTCTATCTCTCAAAACAAACCGGCCAAGCGGGATAAGTTTGTTTTGGGGAGACAATTAATGAGTTACCACGTGGTGATGCCACGTGGTTACGTTGGCTAAGTGAAATGAGCTACGTGCTGCTGAATCACTTTGCATGGAGCAAGGAAAAGAGGGACAACAAATGAAGGTGTGCTCAGTCTGTAAAAGAAGGGATAAGAGATTAATATTGAGGTAAGTAATATTATATATATTGAGGTAAGTAATATTATATTTTGAGTTATTTTAAAATATTTTATATATATTCTGAGTTAGCATAAAATATTTTATGTAATTTATATTTTATAAATTACATTAATGTTTCGATTACGTTAATTATTCTATGAATCATATTTATTTAAATTAAAACTCATGGATATAATTATTTAAATTTAGAAATTATTGGATAATGAGTATATAATTTTTGCTTGTTTGTTTATGAAAATCATCATTGGAGTCTCATGTCTTGGGGACTTAAATAACTATTGGCCTCTGATTGATTACTTTGTGACCTTCGTTTATCATAGATCCATTGACCTTTGTTTTGATTTTCACTTCGGTGACCTCTGTTTTGATTTTTCTTTTATACTGTGGTTATAATTATTTTATTTATATTCTGAGATTCATTTCTATTATTTAAATTATTGATTAACTCAAATTAAAAATAATGTACAATGTTTTAGCTTAAATAATTATTCATAATAATTTTGTGCCCTACACTCTTGATATAATATTTCTTATTCTGTTATATGCTTATAGTTGTTGTCCCCTTTAGGCGATGATCAGTAAGGAAAAGTGGTAATCTCATATAAGGGACTAGCACGGGACTTAATGTGGACTTCTAGTATTTTTTTATGTATTTATTTATTTTTATTTATAATTGTCTGATCATTAATAAAATAAATAAAAGTGCTAAGGAATTTTTTTTATAAAAAAATTATCGAGTATTTTGATTATTTATTTACCTATTTAATTTCTTTACTACTTTATCTTGTCTCTCCCGCGTCACTTAATTTGTTGAATTTAGAATTAATTAGCTAGTTGCGAATCCACTCTTAAGTATCCAAGGTTGGGTCGTGACAATAGCAATCCAGCAGAAACTTCAATTCAATGGAAATTTCATATTTTGATCTTTACATCTTCATCTCAATGCAAACATATCCTAAAAAAAAAAAAAAAATTCATAATTAGAAATAACTCAAATAAAATAATACAAATCTACACCCCAGATAACAGAGGGGTTACCAATCTACCACTTATTGAATTTTTGGAGCAAACTCTTTAACTTGCAATTGACTAGATAAATAACAAAAAAACAATAAATAATAATAAAAAAAAAATCATATTTAATTTGGCTTAGATTTTCTTTCTCATAGGCTTCATATTTATTTTACTACCCCAAAGCAACTGGAAGCATGTTCAATGGCATAACAGAAAATTCATTTCACAATTGAATAGATAAATAACCCAAAAAAAAAAAAAAAATCATTTCACATAGAGATGAGTACAAAACAAATACATAATGATATACAAATACAAACCCAATACTTTATTCAATCCTTCTGAAACCAATAAATCAATAAATCTTAGTGAAAAGTGACCAAAAGCAAACAAATATACGCACAAACTTTTACTAACATAAACATATTTTGTAAATCTATTAAGAAAAAAGTTTAAACTCATAGATCCATTAGTTTTGAGTCATTGAACCACAAATGACCAAAAACAGACAAATTAAAACACAAATACAAACACAGAGAGGGACTTACTGATTTTGTGTTGTCACGGTCACACTTCGCCGAGAGTCAAAAGGGTAGCATCATTGTTGGTGGCTGCATTTCATGTTCGTGGTCCTTGTTTCTCTTTCCGCCAATCTTCAATTCTATGATAAATAAACAATAATCTGAGACACAGAGAGGAAAGAAAAGAATAGATAGGGTAGGGTTTTACTCTTTAGTTTTAATCTAATGGTCTAAATACAAGATTCTAATCCAAGAGCCATAGCACAACCAAAAAAATAAAAATAAAAATGTAAGTGCCACATATTTAATTTATACATATATTATATAATTTTTATAATATATAAAATGCAACTCGGGTTCGAGTTGCTCAGGTTACACATAGTCTTTGCCCAGGATCGGCCCGAATTACAACTCGAGCATCAAAAATCTGCCCAAGCCCTCCCAAATTGCAAGATATTGTTGCTCAAGTCTTAAAAAAACTTGGGCTGAATATGAGTTATTTGAGTTGAGCCCGTCCGAGTTGCATCCCTATTATAATATATATTTTATCTTGTATATTTTTATGTCTTTATACTATCTATATTAATTTAGATATCTTTAATTTTACTAAAACAAAATAATAGTGTATCTATGTCAAAATTATAAGACTTACTGTATTTTTTTTTTTTTTTAAACATCAAAGGAGGTGAGGATGATGGAGTAAAAACCATTAAAACTTACTTTTTGGAGTTGGATGTTACCAATGGAGAGGGTTTACTTAACATTAATATTTGGAGAACTAAATATTTTAGTAAACAAAATCAAAAAGTCATTATAAATTATTAAATAATGTTATATGTATCAATTAATGTACTAATTAGTATATTAACAGATAATGTGTCATAATTTTAGAAATTTTAGATATTTGTAATTTGTATAATAGGTGGGGTCAATAATAATGACATAACACTAGTTGGTATACGGGTGTGTACATTAATTGGACACATATAGCATCACCGTAAATTATTTGGTGACACTACATGCATCAATTAATATACTAATTAGTATACTACCACTAGTTATGATATTATTATTAACCTCACTCATTATACAAACTACAAATATCAAAACCTCTTAAATTATGTCGCATCATCAATTGGTATACTAATTAGTACATATAACATTGTTCTAAAT